CGTCGATTCTCTTTATAGGCAGACGCTGGATCTTAATCTTTGGCTTTGAATAGCAAAAGACGAGGGACGTAAAAGGGCACAGTTTTACTGTCGCGTCTCAACAGGCAAAAAATATTGACTACAATTTGTCATTTTGTTTGCCAAATATACGTTTTATTAGTGCACTTGCACAACATTCGCATTTTATTGTGAATAATCAATGTGGAGCTTTTGCGATTGCGAACCTTAAAATTAATGCGGAAACTCCGCGGTTGCGAATGCGAATGCGAATATTCGCAACAACCCTGATCTATATATATATAGGTGTTTCCACAAAAATTTAAACCGAAAATGCAAGCAGTAAATGAGTTTAAATGGATAACTTAAAATTTCGTATTCAGATGGCGAAAAAAGGTTATAAAAACGAGAAACGGTGGAGAGAAGAGCTGAAAAAATTAAATGATGTACTACGTATTACTAGTAAAAATATTGTATGGGGGAAAAATCTGTCACGACCGATATGTCACGTCCGTTATCACATTTTAATTCTAAATTAAACCAACAACGAATTGCTTCTGATTTAAAATGAATTGGTTGTAATTTGACTTAATTTAAAGAATATTTAAGAAAGGAAACCCTCACAGGATTCGCAGAGTTTTGCTTATTTTTACATGTACTCTGAAACCACTTCTGTTTTTGTCTCGTCCGTTATGATCTCCTTTCCTTCGATTTTCTCGACACCAGTATTCCAAGCGCACTTAATTTTTTTGTCAACCAAAGGACGGTAAAAAAGCTACACAACGACATATTTTTTTTATAAGTGACTTACGCTTTCGTATGATTTATTTAACTCCAGAATGCAAATAAGTCATCCCAAGATGCGCATCCAGAATGCAAATAAGTCATCCCAAGATGCACATAATGAATGCGGATGATTATAGTATTCCTCTCTTACGTTCTAGGTTTTGTTACTGATCCTTATATCTTTCTTCACTTTCTCTTACTATATACATGTTTTCTAAATTACGCAAATTAATGTTTTAATTAAATTTGTTAAAATCTATACACAGTGCAAATAATATATCAATACATTTTTGTTATGGTGTCTCCAGGCCATAAATCGGCGAGTTCTTTTCACCTTGTTGCGTATCATCAGCAAAAAAACAACCTGGCTGAAAATAATTCACTTGAACGCGCAAAGTTTATATAAAAAACTCGATGAATTTAGATATGCCCTTTATAGATTCGAATATTGATATTTTATGTGTTTCCGAAACTTGGTTTCTTCATTTCATAGTAAGGACTTAGTAAAAGCAAATGGTTATCAACTTTTCAGAGCTGATAGAAGTGGTTATGCTAGTGGGTTGCAATATATATTAAAAATAGTTTGTCCTGTAGATTAAGTTGTGCTTCCGGCAATGGTGATTCCGTCGAATATGTGTTTGTAGATGTGTTTTCCGAAAATAATAAATTCCTTGTCGGTAGTGTATATAGACTAAATCGTTATTTTAATTTTACTAATTTTACGGAATTACTTCATCCTCTTATTGAAAACTATAGAAACATTATAATTGCCGGAGATTTCAATAGAAACTTGCTCGAAGACATCAGTTTAAGGCTAAGTATGGAATCTCTTGGGCTTTTCCCCACTAATGCATCCCTTCCGACACATTTTAGCAACACTAACAGCAGCCTACTGGATATATTTTTTGTGAGCGACTTACAGAAATTCCTCCACTACAAAATCTGCACCTGGATTCTCAAAACATGATCTGATTTTTTGGACATATGACACCCGAACGCCAGGAACACCAACCTCTTTTACATATCGTGACTTCAAATATATTGACTTTACTTCACTTACAGCTGCGGTTGAGTTAGTGGAGTGGACACATATTCAGAATCTCGTATCTATTCAGGACCAAACTAGCTTCCTACCAGACCATATTAAGTGGCTTTTTGACTGCTATGTTCCGATCAGGCATAAAATAATAAACCGACACAGTATGCCTTGGTTTAATGTGAATATATAAACCGTTTGATAAATATACGGAATCAGGCCTACACGAGATGGAAAAGGTACAGAACACCTGAAGCTCTTAATCTTTTTAAAAATGCTCGGCTTACTGCGAACAGAGCCATAAAGACAGCAAAAACCATCTTCTACAAAGAAAAAGTTAGTTCTGCTATAAATTCTCTGTAAGTCATGCAACTTTCCTTAAAATAATATTACCCAAAATCCTGCCACATTCAACCTGACAGCCTGTGTTTTTGCCCAGAGCAATGGAAAGTTGCCAGGGTTATTACTGCTCACAAAAAAGATGATGAATATAGACCTATAGCTATCTTACCTTTTCTGTCGAAAGTCGTTGATCGTATTTTATACAATCAAATAATTTCGTATGTGCAAGACAACAGACTTCTATCAGACCGTCAGTCTGGGTTCCGATCGAAGAGACGCTGCACAGCGGCACTCTTGGACGTGGTAGAAAGCATTCGATCACAAAACGACGAAAATAATATTGTCTTCTTAACCCTACTCGATAATTCTAAGGCTTTTGACTCAGTGGACCGTAGGTTATGATGTTGCAAGTTGAAAAACTTATTTAACTTTTCCTGCCATGCAACTGCCTTGATCAGATCTTACCTTGGCGGCAGAACTCAGGCTGTGAGCATTGGCCCCAGAAAATCTGATTTCCAACCTGTACTTAGAGGAATCCCGCAAGGCTCTATTCTGGGTCCTTTGTTATTTGTTTTGTTTACAAACGACTTACCGAACGTTTTAAAATATTGTGATGTCCATATTTCCGCTGCTGATGTCCAATTGTATGTTTCCTGTCCTCCGGATCGTAGTAGTATTTGTATTAAGAATCTAAATTCTGACTTGACTCTTATAGGGGATTGGGCTACTAGTAACGGCTTATGCCTTAATCCTGACAAATCCCAATGGATTGTCATTCATAGGAAATCCATTGTCATTAGTAATTTCGGTAACATCTTGTTGGATAAGTCAGCCATAAAATATGTTGACACGGCAAAAAAATCTTGGCGTAATCTTTAACAAAACATTGACATGGAAAGATCACATTTTTAGCACAGTAGGTAAAGTGTATGGGATGCTTCGTACACTCTGGTTGACTCAATACTTCACTCCTTCAAATATAAGACTACTCTTAGCTAGCTGAGGTTTATGCAAATTGTGCCTCCGTATGTAAGATAAAGCTAAATGTTGTCTATAACAACATTGCAAGATATGTATATGGATTAAAAAGACTTGACCATTTATCACCAAATGCTGAAAAACTGCTAAACATTTCTTTTGATAACCTTTTAAAAACTAAGGTACTCGTTTTTTTACATAAGTTTATATATACAACGGAACCTCTCTATCTTTATGGCAGGCTTCAGTTTCTCAATCATCGAGGTCTACACTTAGAGTGCACATCAAATATCGGACTCGTGTGTCTGAACGACAGTTTTTCATACACTCTATATGTCTTTGGAACTCTCTTCCCATTCGATTAAGACAATTAAATAATGCACTGTTCTTCAAAAAAGAATTAATCAACTTCTATATTACTAAGAAATTTCATGTAGATGTATGTTCTTTTATATTACATTATTATATTTAAGTAAAATATTGTTATTTTTAGACTTTAATTCAAAATCATTTATGTTCCATGCTAAACAACTTTTGTAATTTCAATACCACAAAACTTATCCTTTGTCCTTTGCTTTATTTATTTTTAGGTATGTAACTAGCTTAAATAATTCGTTGAATTGTTGTCCTAGGATTAAGTATCAAACAAATCAAATCAAAAAAAAAAAATAAAAATAAATTAATAAAAATCAGAAATCAAAAGTTGTACGAGTGTCATATCCGACGTCATGGAAACACCCACGTATTATTCATAGATCTAATATAAATAAGAATGTTTTCAGAAATACTATTAAAAAGGTTAAGCAAAAAAGTATCAATGGTTATGGAAAGACTAGGTCTTACTAAAAATTCTCCCATAAATGATTTTTCGCACAATTTAACTTTTGTCGTTTTGAATTTTGTAATATACAAATTTGCAAATACTAACCTTTGTTGGCGATTTTAAAATTTAAGCATTAGAAAAATAATAAAATAGTTTACACTATGTTGTAGTGTGTAAATCCAGTTATCAAACCGATGTAGGAATGGAAAATATGAGAATTTTATAGTTGTGCATTTAAAAATAATCGTGTGATTACGTTCAAAAAATTCATTTCCACATGGCATTTTTTAAATGGAACACATTTTTCCATTTCAATGCCTAGTGGAAATTCGGCAACATCATCTCTACGTGGGTGAGTGTCGCTTAAAGGATTAATACAGCCATATTAAACTTTTTTAGTGGTTTAATCATAGAAAACTAGGTGCACGAGATATAGGTAAACTAAAAAATACTAATTTAAAGAGTTCAATTTTCCGACTTTTGTCCGCCCAGATTTGGGATTCAGACCACTGTGCGGCATATTTAACTTCCTCAAATAAATAATTTTTCATCAAATGTCAGAACTAACTAGCTCTTAAAGACTATGTAGTCGCAGGTGAGAGACACGTTTGGCCCCTTAAACTTTGAGTGCAAATAAAACAAAACCATTATGACTTTGTTCACCGAAAATAGTTAGCGTGGTATCGTCTTTTAAAAACATAGCGTAGTTATTCCGTTACATAAATGGCTGGTTGCAATAATGCAGTGCAACAGTGTAATTACTGTATTCCGCACGTGGACGTTACATCCAGAGTTATTGAGTGGTTTAATATGTTCAGCATTTATGTTTATTACCTATTTGAAACAAGTCCAACTTGTCAGGGAGTCAGCCTAATAACCTTTATTATTTTCTAAGGGCGTATTTTGCAATGTAAATTTACTCAGCTCGGCTGTTAACTTGCATCGTTGTACAGAAACTCGATAATTAAGTGCCGTTAACTCTAGTTCGGCCGATCGCCGCTGTAAAACAACATTAAAAAGTATTTTTCTCTTCTCCAGATTTAAAAACTATATGGTCGCTTTAATGAACAAAAACCTTCTACCTGTCAAATTCCATCTTCCGCTAGTTGGAGAGGTTACTACCCTGAGCCGTGGATTGCTGTTTAACATACATGTAATACTATTCAGTAAGTAAAATAAATTTGTAATAATTTAAAGTGTGTCCACTTTCGAATAACGATACTCGTAACAAAAAGAGTATGTATGATAGTGTATGTCATATTCACATACAAAATAAACTAAATCTTATCTTAATTTCATTTATTTTGTAAAAGTTTACATAACAATGTTATATAATTAATGCGCAGCGCTAGTAGCAGTGGCTTTGGACTGATTGGTGACGCTGCACGTCAAACGGACCAAAGCTCTGCCTAAAATTCTACGCAATAGTAATTACCGTAAAGCGTGCTAAAAGACTCCTTCTGGACCCGACAGCATATCAACAGGCCCTGAGCGGCATTCACAGGGAGTCGGTCTCAAGCTACGTAGACTCGAGACCTGTGAATGCCGTTCTGGACACACAGCCACCCTGACGTGGGCGAGACGGAGCTTCGTCTGCCTCGGGAGACTCGGACCACATTAGCCCAAGTTCGCTCTGGCTACTTCAGCAGGTTGAACTCCTGTAGTGCGTTTCTGTAACCTTGCGATACACCTTATATCGTAAAATATAACGCTTTTCCACTTTTATCGCAAGCAAGTGTATCTGTAACTGTGGTGAAAAAAATATTGCGATAAATGATGCGCTAAATATATCACTAGCTGTAAGTCAAGCGAGCTTTAGTTTTCGCAACTAAAAGCGTAAAATATGAGTGAGATATGTACGATTTCAATTGTTTTAAATTTTTTTAAAACAAACCAGTAATTTTTAATCAAAAAACAAAACCGACTTCAAAACCGACTTAAAAATTTAAGATTATCGTTAATTTCTTCATGACCCGATGATCGGATTTAATTAAATTAATATGGGACCACCTGTGAGGTAACACCTTTCCTCTAAAAAAAGAATTATAGAAATCAGTTAACGTGGTCCAAAGTTATGCGGTTACATACATATACAAATATTCCGACGAATTGATAACCTTTCTCCTTTTTGTGAAGTCGGTTAAAAACATAATTGGTACGGAAGAAATGATTGATGCTGTCTGCAAACAATATCAAAAATCAACCGGATTTTGTAGAAACTTAAAATCAGCATATTATACTAAAATTGAATGGGCTACCAAAAAATTTTCCAAAAATTGTGCATAATAGTTTGAAATTTTCCTGAAAATTTGGGAAGTTTTTCTAAATTTCGGAACAAGTATGAAACTTATATTCTAATAAATTATGTTATAAAATTATATTTTTATAACAAATTTACGAAACAAATTTTTTGCTTATTTAAAAACGGCAGCGGCACAGCAAGCATAGCCACTTGAAAATATTTCAATTCTATAAAATAAAAATACTTTGCTAAAAGTGAAATTTTGTTTGCATCATTGTATAGGCTTATAAGTATGGAAAGCGCCATTTTGTTTGTTTACATTTGAAAACAGCTGAGACCTGATTTTCAATTCTCTCATTCTCCGCACAGAGTTACATTCAAGTTTCAGAAAAAACTTTAAAATGTAAATTGAGAAATATTTTAGAAAAATGTGTTTTTATTCATTTGAATTGATTAAATAAGAAATTAAAAATGCATGCCAAGTCTTACATTTTCAATAATAACGATAAATGTGTATGTTCCAGGCAATAATTTAAAATATTCGTGAAACTTATCGTTTTGCGCTAAAATACAACAATGTGTGTAAAATTCGTTGTCATTGTTTCTGTTTTGAATACAATATTCGTGCCTGCCGGTGGAAAAAATAGGTAAATTTGCATTTGTTTTTAAGAAAACATATAAATTAAATTATATTTCTTTCCAGAGCGACATACGGACAAGTAAGGTGATAAATTTGTATGATGAATATCGCGGAAAATCTTTTGCATCAAAATTTCTATTCTAATTTGCATTTGAATTATGGTATCAACAGGGATGCTTTGGGACGTATTTTTTGAAGATAATTTCCTTATAAATCTTGAGATTGTTGATTTATTTTAGAATTAAAAAAGGTAGTTTATATTAAAAAATATATTTAGACTAGCAGTATGTAAATTACTTTTATTACGAATTGAAACGATTTTAATGAATATTCATGGTTACCATGACAGTTAGATCTAAGTGCATATTTGACTAGAAAGATGGAATACAAGATTGCGCCATCCTGGCGGCGATGACATATCTGTACAAAAAGTAATCAAAGTCGAATTGGATGTTGAAATAAAATGTGAGAACAGCAAATTTTCTTAATAATAAATTTTTCGATAAGGAACGTGTTTTAATTGTGCTTATTTCTAATAGCCTTATTCATAAACAATAAAGTAGCTTAAAAAAGGGTTTATAAATTGAAAAATGTTTGCAAACGGCAATTTAAAAAGCCTTTTAAAAATTTTATTTTTTATGAATAAGGCGATAAAAATATATGATTTAAAAAAACTTTTAACAAGGAAAACACGAAAAAAGGTGATTTTTGGGGAAGTAGGTATGAATTGCAGTGCATTTAAAGTTTCTGAGGTTTCGTTTACTTTTAGATCAGAATTGTCAAAATTGAGAAACTGCTGTGAGCGAACTGCTGTGATGATGTGAAAATTTACCAAAATGAAGAAAAATATAACAATTAAGTGAAAAATTTTGATTTTTACAAATTTAGTGAGCAGTAGCGCGTTTCAAGAACGATATTTCGGACAAATCGTTAATGAACAACTATTTTTCCTTCCCGTCTGCTTTGGTTTTGGCAAACAAGTTGATTAGTTCCTGCCGGCGATCAAGTCATTTCAACCACAAAATACTATTATTTACAAGAACCATTCACTAAAATTGTAACTAACTTTTTAGTATTTATTAATTCCTTTTTGATATTCAGCAATAGCAAGATGGAAAAAAATTATAAACCAAAACTAGTAATATTTTTATGAATATAATTATAAAAGTTCACAGAGGAAACGCCGGAAAACAATGTATTGGCAACGACATAAAATGTATGGCAATTTTGATGTCAACAGAATAATAACTACGATAAAAAAACATTACAGAAGTGTGCGAAGGAGGAAATCTTTTCAATTTGAACAAAAGAAGCTTTAAATTCCGTCGTAAAACGGTCAGAAATTTCTTATAAAATATTTTGATTTTTAGCATGATAAAAACATTACGAGGTAAAATCATTGAGAGACAGTCTGACGTTTTCCAGCAATATAATTTTAAAATTCGAACTCAAGCTCACACACACATTCTCATTTTTAATCTAAACAACAACAATTTTGAACAATTTCATTTTTTTATTTTCAATTTTATATGATTTTAAAATATTTGCAAACGTCAGAAAAACATCATGGCCGACGAATTGAGAGAATGGTTTTACTTTCTAATGTTTTATCACGATTTTTACTGGTTGTAATTGAAACTCAGTCAAATGAGTATTAAGGAAAAGAAAAATTTGAGAATAATAAACAGATAAAGAGATGGGTGCACAAAAAGTTAAGTTACATGTTAAAAAATAAACAAATCTATTTTTTTTAATGTTACTGTATAGAGCTCTTTAGATCTATTTTATTTTTTATGAATAAGGCCATAAGCATAAACCGTTTTTATAAATAAATCTTATAGCAAGATGCTATATATTTATTTATACACTTTTTGGCTGGCGAAATATGTAGTTTTTTCAACTTAATAAAAAAGCGTATTTAACCACATACAAATTTTTTTAATATTGAATGGCGCAACACAACAACTGTTTTTGTTGCATGAAACCCTTGAACACGTGCCTGTCATCTATTTCTTCTGTTTCGACATTTCGCTAATTTGCATTTCTTTCATTTTGACGTCATTCGCATTGTCAGATTTTTGAAATTCGTTTTGGTTCGACATTCTGCTATTTCATAATTCTTTCATTCTCATGTCATCCATCTTCCATTTCTTACCTTCCATTGCCGTTCGCATCGTCGAACGTGCCTGTCAAACACTGCCGCCATCATGCTTTTCAGTTTGGCAGGCACGTCCGCTGTTNTGCGAAAAATATTTGCATTGGCCCGGTTTTCGCCATTTTTTAACAATTTCTGATAAAAATTCGTAGCATATTCAAATGCCAAAGTTGTAGGGAACTCTTCTCTTTTAGTGTTGGGTTTTCTGGTTAGTTTAGATGCAATATTTGAGACGTCATGTTCAATTTTTCAAAAGGGCCCACAGCTTTTTCCCAAAAGAACTCAATAACTTTAAAAGATGTGGAGGTTTAAAATACTGTAGCTATTTTTGACATGAGGTGAAAAAACTTCATCAAATACCATTAAAATATTTTAAATTTACTACTGAATTATAGGCAAAATATTGTCCGCTTTGTGAAAAGTTTCATGAATTTTCTGAACTTTATGACCTTTGAGGGACGTATTTCTGTTCCCCGATTTTAAAAATTTTTTGGAGGTCAGGTTTTTATGACCAAATGAGCTTTTTTGGGGGGAGTGTGCAAAATAAGGCACAGTCTACCGCACATGCTTGATGATATTTATTGAATTATTTTGCAAAACCATAACTAAATAGTGGAGCGAAGGGTGTTATATACCACATAAGGAAACATTTCTGTAGAAAATGAGAAAGTTTCAAAATACAAAGATCGAACAGGAGTATTCAGTTTTATGACTTTTAGTAATACAGGACAGTCAACAGAGGTTCCGAAACTTTTTTTTCTCGTAGACCCCTTTCAAAAATTTACTGGTTTCGGTGGTCCCCCAGCTGATACATTTCTAATTATTCCCAAAGCTCGTAAAAAAATTAAATGTGAAAACTAGATCTAAAACTAAACTCAGAGTGGCCAAATAAAAGTAAAATATTTTCTTGTGTTCTATTTACAAAAATAATGTGATTACACACTTGTATGTTTTAAAAAATAGAGCTCGTAAATACATCAAAATACTCTCTCGCTCGGAAGAGTTATATTTTTTAAGAGCACTGCGAGCGCTAGCGTTATTTACATTATCTTCACCATATACTCAACAAATGTTCGGCTCACTCATGACTTTGCACGTGGAGTATATGTAAAATAGTTTATTTGTGTTA